TCCAACAGGGTAAAAAAGGAAGCCACAGACTGGGAAAAATATATTTGGTAATGACATGACTGATAAGGGACTTACTTATATCTAGAATGTATGGAATACTCTAGCACCACAACAGGATAAGGTAAACAACCCAATTACAAAATGGGCACAAAATATGAACAGACACTTCACCAAAGAAGACATTCGGATGGCAAACATGCACATGAAGAAATGTTCAAAATCCCTAGCTCTAAGAGAGATGCAAATCAAAACAAGTATGAGATATCATCTCACCCCAGTAACAATAGCAAAATTCAACAGAACAGCAAACAACAAATGCTGGCAAGGTTGTGGGGAAACTGGAGCCCTTATTCCTGTTGGTGGGAGTGTAAAATAGTGCAAACACTATGGAAGACAGTATGGCACTTTCTCAAAAATTTGGAAATACAAATAGCCTTTTTAGAGAATATTTTGTAAACCAGCTTCCACTACTGGGAATATACCCTAAAGAAATCAGAAATGCCACCAAACAGAAACTTACGCAATATTATTCAAAATGGGTGACCCTAGAGGACATTATGCTGAGTGAAATATCTCAGTCACAAAAGGACAAATACTGCATAGTGCCACTGTTGTAGAACGGGACTGACATCAGGGTTGGGGGGAGACTGAGAAAGATGGGATAAATAATGTATACTGCATTGAAACAGACAAGGGAGAAAACCGTTTAAAAGGGATATATGATTAGATACTATTGTCATGACAGGAGTCCAGAACGAAGGCTGCACGGTAGATTGGACCTTCGGAAGGGATTGTAAAACAATGAAAGAATTTTTCCTTTACTTTTCAAAGAGAAGAGTGTACTGGGGGGAAGCGTGGGCAGGGAGAAAAGTGCAACAATGAATGGAAATCCAAAGTCTCTGTACATTTTCATTAAGATTAATATTAAAAAAAGTCCTTCTGAGTGGTCATCTCTAAAGTACAATGTGTTGGACAAGCATCCCAGGTCAGCTTAATTTGGAGCCTGAATTTTAAAAAGATGAAGAGATGAGGATCAGAATTTAAAATGTTCATGAAGAAAACTAAAAATTAAGAAATAAAATAGAGTATCTGCCTGCATCAGCTTCCTCAGTTGAGACCCAAATGTTTAGGTATCTCAACACATAAGAAAGTAAACCAATCAAAGAAAAAGCTACAGCACAGCCCATAACTAAAGGAAAACGTCACAAAACCCAGGCAAGATTTAGAAGAAAAACCCCAAAAACCTACTGGCTGTGACCGCTGGAGCCTTGTTAGGGCTTCAGAGCCTGTACATCTTTACACTAGCTGACTGCCTTGTCTTTCTCCTGTGAAGCAGCTGGTAGATTCGCCGACCTTTTAGGTTAACAGCCCTCCCAGGGTCCGTTTTAGAAGCAAAAGATACTGCTAAATCTTGTCTCATTTCATTCGTTCTGTCTAGTCTCTTCATTTTCTAAGTTTCATCAGATGTCTTTCACAAAACTCATCGTTTTTTCCTTTAAACTTTTTAGTCAGATGCCAGCCTTTAAGAAAGTGGAAAGGTTGGCAGTTTAAAGGGATGCGTGAAAAAACAGCAGTGGATGTTCCTCCCATCCCCAGTATTTGCATACCACTCAATCATTAGTATTTGGATTCCACTAGTTTCTTAGTTGTGGGGAGGGGCAAGGTAGGACAGTCAGCATATTATAATGTTTGGTGCCTTTTTCTTACCTCAGAAATATATTCTAATAATTACTCTCAATTTAAAGTTTCTAAAATCTCTTCTAGCCCTTGGGGGAATGGCACCCTAAATATGAAGAACAGTAACATACTACTTGCATAATAATTTAAATTATGATGTTGGCAAAGGATGTTGAATGCATAGACTGCCAGAAGAACAGACTAATCTGTCTTGAAAAAGTTTTAGGACATCAGCTATGATGCCCATATTGTAACAGCACGCTTCTTGCCTCTTCCCTGTGCTTCTGGTTTCCATTCATCCTTCTATCGTATCCTTTTCTACCTTCTAAGCTCTATCTCAGGAGAAATGCTGTCTTTTTAAATCTGGTACTGTTGGTTGTTCTAAGTTCTCCTTAAAGGTTGGTCTACTGTTTGGATAAAGTTGAACCATGGTGGAGAGGTTAGTTCCAGGCTCGAAAGGTAACAAAGGCCATTGTGTCAGTTGCTGTTAAACCAGCAAGGCTGGTCATTCTTAAGGGTTTGAGTGTTGCTCCACATCTTCCCCAAGACCCTAACTTGATCTAAGACCCTTTAAAGTGGTCCAGTTCAGAGTGGTCAGCAGGGAAATGTCGTTCTTCTGGTCTCGGAGTCATGAACCACTCCGAGGTTCATGTGATCTCTTAGTACTTTGAACGAATAGTTCAAATCTTCTATTTCCTTCATGCTCCTTTGCTCTGGGTAGGAAGAGACCACTAGCTGCACCCTAGATAGTCACTTGTTAGTTTTTAAGACACAAATTTCTGCTCATCAAACAAAATGGACTTGTTGTTAGGTGATGTTGAATCGAGTCTGACTCATAATGACCCTGTTTTTATTGTTGTTGTTGTTGTGTGTCATTGGGTCACCTGAGACCCATAATACCCTATGTACAGTAGCTCTGAACCCTGCCCTGTTCTGAACCAGTCTCACTAATTCTGACACAGCAACTCCCATTGCCCCAGTTACTGTATAAATCTCATCCAGGGTCTTCCTCTCCTATGCTGTCCCTCCACCATTCTGAGCATGATGTCCTTCTCCACGGACCGGTCTTTCCTTGCCACAAGCCCAAAGTATGTGAGATGGAGCTTCAAAATCTTAGACTCCAAGGAGAAACTTGGTTCCACCCTCTCCAAGACAAACTTATTTGTTTTCTTGGCAGTCTATGGTACGTTCAGATTCTTCTCCAGCACCACAACTAGAAGGAATCGATTCTTCTGTCATCCTTAGTCATTGTCCAGCTCTCTGATGCATAGCAAGTAACTGCAAAGACCATGGCCTGGATCAGGTGCACCTTAATCTCTAGACTGACATCATTGCTTCTCAGCACTCTGGAGAGGTGCCCGACAGCAGTTTTCCCAATGCAATTTATCTTTTGGTTTCCTGAGAGCTGGTGTTAAGAGTGTTGATTGTAGATCCAAGCAAGCTGTAACTGTTAAAAACCTCAGTCTCTTCTCCATCTATCACAGTGCTGTCAATTGGCCCAGTGGTGAGAATCTTTGTCTTCTTGATGTAAAGTTTCCATTTATATTGAAAACTACAGTCGTGGGCTTTCTGCAGCAAGCATTTTAACCCTATCCTGTTCTGCACTATCTTCAAGCCCATTGCTATAGTCACTGTGTCAGTCCACCTGGTTGAGGGTCTTCCTCTCCTTCACCATCCCTCCACCTTTCCAAGTGTGAAGTCCCTCTCCAAGGAATAGCCTCTCCTAGCAACAGGCCTAAAGTATACAAGATGAAGCTTTATCATCTTTGCCTCCAAGAAGCACTTTGACTGTATTTTCTCCAAGACATATTTGTTTGTTCTTTTGGCAGTCCATGGGATATTCAGTACCACAGTTCAAAGGCATCAGGGTTTTTTTCTGGAATTCTTATCCACTGTCCAGCTCTCAGATGCACAGCATGTGAATGAAAAGACCACAGCCTGAATCAGGCACACCTTGATCCTCAAACTGACATCTCTGCTCCTCAAGAGTTTGGGGAGATTCCTGACTGCAGATTTTATACTGAAACAAGCCTCCTGATCTTCTGACTGGTGGTACCAAGATGAAATCATTGACAGTTTCAATCATTTTTCCATCTATCATGTTGTTGCCTATCAGTCCAGTGGCAAGAATTTTCTTTTCTGTATGGACTATATTGTATCAGTTGACCTTAATGTCCACCGACATTATGGTCCTGATGCCCTAAGAACTAGCAAGTCATTCCCTCAGGGTGTTTGGCTATAGTTAAGGAAGGTATATAACTTTGCTCTTTGCGGCTTCTACTGTGTAGGCAGATAAATTGACAACACTTACCGAGGTGAATGCAGAAATACTATCTGCCAAAGTGTAGTCATGATATGCTCCCTTTCACCTGCTCATCTTTGTTTTTTTTTTTAGCCTGTCTGCTTTTGTATCCACTTGTTTATCGATGCTTACTATGACTGATAATGCAGAGCTTAATCCAGTACATAAAACAAGAATTCAGTCAGAAAGAAAAGCATATTTGTGGCACAATACTAATTACAACGTCACTTAAATCTAATGCTAAAACAATCTGTTTCAAAACTTTTTCAATCTTACCTAGACACTACCTGCTGGAATAAATATGTTGCCAAGATCTAATAATACTTACAACAAAAAACTTCTATTTATTTAAACTGCTTTATGAAGAGTAAAATATACAATTTTTGCTCTCAAGACACAGGAAAGCAGTAACCTAAAATCACAGACTTCAGTAACCTTAAAAAGAAGCTGTTTGATATAGTCAAAGAAAAGAAAGGCATCTAATTACATCTGAAACAAATGCTGATTCTAAAATTAATTTCAAATGCTGGAGAGTCATCTGAACAAAAAGCTCCATGTTTGATGGGAAACTTCATTTTTATCATAACAAAGTATTTCATTTAATCACACTTGTTAATCTGGGGGTGTTCCTGGCCATTAGGAAATCATGAAGCAAATTTAATAGAATTACCCTTTCAGAAACAAATTGCCAAGTCATCAAAAACCTCTGAAAGATTAAAACTAATTCAAGAGGAAAATAAAATTATTTTTGCTTTGCTCCACCTTTTCCTTTTTTCCCCTTGATACAGTAAAGGCTCCTGGGCTGTGACCCAGCTTCAGAAAAAAAGAGCCAGTAAAGTAGGTTCACCAAAAAGAAATTATCCAATTATGGATTAGCAAAACTGCAGCAGGGATTAAGAAGTGACACAGAAGAGGAACACCCTAAAAGTGTGTATATAAGAGCCAAAAAAGCAGCCTGTGAACACACTCATCCCTATCACCTGTCCTGTTCATCCAGACAAGCTAAACATTGGAGAACACTATGTCTTGTTCAACTCGCATCTCCTCCTCCAGAACTGGGGGCAGTTCCATCAAGGGATCTGGTGGTGGGAGTAGCTTCAGCAGCGGAAGCCGATGTGGTCTGGGGGGGACCTCCTCCCGGGGCTTCCAAGGGGGATCCAGCAGCTGTGGCCTGAGTGGGGGGTCTGGTGGTGGCTTCGGAGGAAGCTTTGGAGGGGGCTTTGGTAGCTGTTCTGTAGGAGGAGGTTTTGGAGGAGTCTCAGGGGCTGGCTATAGTGGGGGTTCTGGATTTGGGGGTGGTTCTGGATTCGGTGGTGGTTCTGGGTTTGGCAGCGGTGCTAGTGGAGGCTTCTACACCTATGGTGGAGGCATGGGTGGTGGTGGGATGGGAGGTGGTTTTGGAGATGGGGGGCTTTTCTCTGGAAGTGAAAAGCAGACCATGCAGAACCTCAATGACCGCCTGGCCAACTACTTAGACAAGGTCAGAGCCCTGGAGGAAGCCAACGCTGACCTGGAGAGCAAAATCAAAGAGTGGTATGACAAATTTGGCCCTGGGTCTAAAGATGATGGATCTGGGAGGGACTACAGCAGATACTACCCAATCATTGATGATCTGAGGAATCAGGTAAGAAACTACATTGCTAAGTTTCTATTCTTTTTAAAACTTTTATTCACATCATATGCCATAATAAAAAATTTCAGTCAAGGAATTATTTAAAAATATATTTGCTTTCTATAGATATATTTTAACAATTTTGTACATGCTTTCCAATGATGCTAATTTTCTGTTTGTTTCTCATGTAAGTATTTCTACAGAAGGATAGAATATAGTCAATGACATGTAGCCAATTAACATGTATACATTATAGCAATGGCAGTGAATCAACATTCATTTAATCTACTTATTTTATGATTAATTCTGGTAGGTTAACATATTGCTGTATCTTGTCACATTTAAATACTCTAGCATTATTTTCTCTTCCTAGAAAACCTAGTGAAAACACTGTATAAAGATGTAGCATCATCTAAAACATGGAAAATACACTTTAAAGATTTTCAACTGAAATTCCATTATTAAACTTTTTTTTTTACAGCTCATGGAATTAATGATATTCCCAAACAGCAGACATATATTCACAGTGCTGGATTCTGTGAAGTAACGTCCTCTGGTTTCTCCAGTGAATCAGAAAACTGTTGTCTTTTCATAGAAAGATACAGTTTTACATACACCAAAATTATCATTGCAAGTGTCAATGTGAAACCACTTTGCACAGCAATTCAACCTTAAAAGCAAATGGCAATGGATGGTTTAAGGGAGAAAGCAGGATTTGAAACTTAATAGATAAGTTGGGTGAAGAAATATCTATCAATGACTGAATGAAAAATCAGTATGATTTATAAACTTTCACTAAAAAAAAATAAGTTAATAAACTGGAAGGGAAAGGCAAATAGGACAGGAGTATCTACCCTTTAGAATAGGCACACAGACACAGGTTAAAAGAAAAATCCCTGATGATTTCACTTTTGTCTTTTCCAGATTGTTACTGCCACGATTGAAAATGCTGGCATCGTTTTGCAAATTGACAATGCCAGATTGGCTGCTGATGACTTCAGACTGAAGTAAGAAAAGTGGAGACATGAAAACAAGTAACCAAAATTGAAGGAAATAAAAACCATTTGATTTTATTTCTATTTTTCATTTACTCTAAACTGAGGAAACATTAAAAGAATCATGATCTAAATTCACAAACATCCCAAAGTATGCATTAGAAACCATCATTCCAACATCAAGTTTAAAGACAACATAGCAGAAAATTAAGAAGAATTTTGTTTTAAAATGTGTTGGACAAGATTAGAATGAACATTGAGCTTATTTTTTTTAAATGAAAAAAATCTTCAAGAAAAATGTACAGCCTTCATTTGTCAAAATGGTTTCCTTTCAATATCAAAATAACTCCCATTAATGGAGGAGAGTGTTTTAACAGTAGCCAGTACAACTCACCATAATGTCAAACTTCCAAACCCTCCCAGGTACGAGAATGAGCTGTATCTCAGGCAGAGTGTGGAAGCTGACATCAATGGTCTGAGGAAGGTCCTGGATGACCTGACCATGACACGCTCTGACTTGGAGATGCAAATCGAGAGCCTCACCGAAGAGCTGGCTTACCTGAAGAAGAACCACGAGGAGGTAAGGGCATGTTTCACATCACCATTCAGCTCTGGTCTACATATTCTCCCACATTTTTATATAAAGGGGTTTTTTATTTTATTTTATACTGGTTTACTTGCAAAGTTCTTATACATTGTTATTTTTTTTTTTTAAAAATCCACACAACCTTATTCTATCTGAATAGATTTTCAATATCCTGTGTTCAGTGGACTAAAAGTAAAAATGAGCATTGTATCTTAGGTTCCTTTTTTTTTTAACTTCAATGTTCTAGCTTTAATTTTTGGTTATTTTTAAAGGAACCCTGGTGGTATATAGTGGGTTAAATGTTGGGCTGTTAACCCAAAGGTCTGTAAGTTCTAACCCACCAGCCCCTCTATGGGAGAAAAATGAGACAATCTGGTCGCATTAAGAACTGAGGCCTCAGACAGAAGTAATCCCATGGTGAAGGCCCACTCTGTCCTAGAAGGTAGCTGTGAGTCAAAACAGACCTGAGGGTAGTGTGGAATGGGGTGTATGTTTTAAGAATCCAAAGCTTTTCTGGTTTTGGTCATTATGGTGTGCTTTATTTTATATTAGGAGATGAAGAATATGCAAGGCAGCTCTGGAGGTGACGTGACTGTAGAAATGAACGCTGCCCCAGGAACTGACTTGACCAAACTATTGAATGACATGCGGGCGCAGTATGAGGAGCTGGCAGAACAGAACCGCCGGGAGGCCGAGGAGCAGTTCAACAAGCAGGTAGATGACACCCCTAAGTGTCCAAACCTGCAGCCATACACAAGCCACCTCGCCTGTCTCCTCAAGGCCACGTGTGCATATTACTTTTCCTCTTATAGAGTGCCTCACTGCAAGCCCAGATCTCTACTGATGCAGGGGCCACCAGCTCAGCCAAGAGTGAGATAACCGAGCTGAGACGCACTTTGCAAGCCCTGGAGATTGAGCTTCAGTCCCAAATGGCCATGGTATGGACCAACAGAAATCCAACAAGAAACTACACAAATACAGTTCCTTTTTTGTAGTAGGTTTGGTTGGGTTTTCATTTGGGGTTTGTTTCTTTTTTTTTTTTCCTTTCTCTTATCTGTCAATATGCACAAACTAGAAGTAGTATGGAGGGAAGCTATCTCCTGCTTGTAGGAAGCATAAAACATTAAGACATCCAGTTAAAGATAAAAGCTATCTTTCCAACTGGGGGTGGAGGCGTGGGCAGGGAGAAAAATGCAACAATGAATGAAAGGAAATGCAAAATCTCTGTAAAAGTTGATTAAAATTAATAAAATAAATTTTTTTAAAAAGATACAAGCTATCTTTCCATAAGTGATTTGGCTTAGGTTAAAAAAAAAAAAAAAGAAGTGACAGAAAGAGCATATCAGCAAAGTGATAGGACAATATGTGTTGTAACACTTTCAAGGAGTCTGAAAAGACTTCTCTGATTGCAGTAGAACTAATTTATTTTTACAATCTTCTCATAATGATTGTTTCTCCCTTTTCTTAGAAAAGTTCTTTGGAAGGAACTCTGGCTGACACAGAAGCAGGCTACATGGCCCAGCTGTCAGAAATACAAATGAAGATAAGCGGCCTGGAGGAGCAGATCTGCCAGATCCGGGGCGAGACGGAGTGCCAGAACGCAGAGTACGAGCAGCTGCTGGACATCAAGACCCGTCTGGAGATGGAGATCGAGACCTACCGCCGCCTGCTGGACGGAGAGGGCGGGTGAGCGAAACCATGAACAATTGAACCGCATACCTGGGTGGATCTAATTGATGAAAACAAAAAAAGGGGCTCAGAGGTGGGATTCATGTTTCTAACATAACGATGGCAACGTCCAGTCAAAAGAAATCTGAAGCTTCATCATAAAGAAGTTCAGGCATGGTGGTCTTCTGTTATTTTTGCAAGCACTAAAGAATATAATTTTTTTTTTCTGATTACAGAAACTCAGGGTACAAAAGTACAGGATCCAGAAACATGGGATCGAGGGGTTCAGGATCTGGAAGCTCCTCTGGTCAAGGAAGAGGTGTGTATTTTTTTAAAGGTTATAATAATTTAAAAAGCAGAGTGAATGCAGGCTTGACTTGTCATATTACCAAGTATCCACTATATAATGTTTATATAATCTTACCCAGAGAAACCATAGGTGAATGCACTTGAACTTCTCTGGATCTGTTTTATGATCATTTCCCCACTGACAGTGTTACTATGTGAATTTCAGATCCAAGCAAGACAAGAGTGACTAAGACCATTGTGGAGGAGGTAGTGGATGGCAAGGTTGTCTCATCTCAAGTCAGCAATGTTTCTGAAGTGAAAGTTAAATAAGCAGTTTCTAGATCAACAAGGGTGTCTTTCACAGAAGAATTCGAAAGACACAAAGAAAGAAATTGCATCAATCCAGGCATCTTGCTACACAGCTTCAGGGCAAAGGTTCAGTCCAGAAATAGATGACTAGCCAATTTTCCTGCATGTTCTCTTCAAATGACTACTTTGTTCCAATTGTTTCTGTGCTTCAATAAACTTACTTTTGCAAGTTAATTATGATTGTTATTCCTGCGTTTCTTAAAACTTAATTAAATAGTTTACTTAGAAACGGAGTTGTCAGTTACGATCTAGCAGCTTTAAGGGGATCAGACAAGGTTTTGATCTTTTGTCCACAGAGCCACTGTGAGTCAGGAGCAACTCAACAGCATCTAATAAGTTTTCATTTACGGTGTGTAGAGCGCCTTCTTCATAAAAGAAAGATTCTGAACATTTTAGATTGGCGCATTTTAAACAATATTGCTCAAAGAGTCAATGATGAAGTAGATAAGATTATATTTTAGCATCCTTAATACCATAGCCACAAAGACAGACAAGATAATTTGAATAATCAACCTATCTTGAATCGTGCATGGAAAGGTGGAAGGTTGCCAAAAGAGAAGAAGACCTTCAACCAGATGGACTGACACAGCAACTGTAGCAATGGAACCAAGTATGTCAGAAATTGTGAGGATGGCATAGGATAAGACAGGGTTCAGATCTGTTGTTCATTTTGTCACTATGAGTTGTACTTGTCAACACCTAACAGTATACTGAATTAACACTTGGTCTTGTTATGTCCATCACTGAACTGGGTATTTTGTGAACTAAAAAGAAACATAAGATATTCCTCTGATTTTAGTGAGCTTACATTTTTGATAGGAAGTAAAGCTAAAACATAAAATAATAAATCAATATGTGTTTAAGATTAAAGGACTTGATTAATCATCTTTACCAAGACCACCTCTGGAATCATTACATTTGCTCACCATTTTGGATATAAGCTAAATAAAGAAAAACTGGGGAAGTATGATTGTATGCATAGTATGGAGTCAGATTTCTTAAAACCTTGCAAGTTTCAGAGGGAGGAAGTGCTCAGATACTCATTTCCTTAGCAAAACAGAGGCATCTTATTAGCAAAAATTATCCCTCAGCTGAGCTGGTGTTTCCTTCTCCAGCTCCATTACTGATTTAGGTCTTTGGTCCTGTAGGTGGTCACAACCCCCTTCCTACACCACCACACTGCGCTTGAAGCCATAAAATCTTGTCTTTTTAGGGTTGAAAAAGTCCCTTAAAGCAGGGTGAGGGGTGATTCAGGCACAAAACTAAGTCAGACTGGCAGGGACCCTTTGCAAGCATGGAGTTTCCTGTCCAAGGAATTCAATATGATCAGATCACAAATTAGAGAATTAACTCTGTAATAGGTCATCAAGAAAATAATACAAGATTTGGTATAAAAGCTGAATTTAAAATTATAAGAATGAACCTGAATAAAATCCATCTAAATTATTCCTTCAAATATAGACCCAACTAAGAGTTGTATGAAAAAAAAACAACATAATTAATGAAAGCAACTAAATAATGCTGTATTTGGGGTTGGGTTTTGGTACTCTCCTCTACTGTAACATAAAAATTAATTCTGGGCATATGGTAACTTCTGCTTAAATAGCTAATAAAAGAATGCATTGAATTGTTAAACATAAAACCACCACTTAAAGAAAAACAACCCATAGGTTAGGAAGTCTTAAGTCAAATCTATGTCTATCATTAAATAAACTCTTGGATGTTTCTCACTCCTTCAGTGAAAAGTCAAGAAATGAGAATTGACTGGTTGAGTCCAGATTTACAGGAAAGCCAGAAATGGAGGTCTGGTCTGCATGGCTTCTGGGACCTTGGAACATGGCATCCACGTAAGGGTGATCTCTGCTCTCTCCAGGTCTTCCCAGACCTACTCGTGCAGCTCTTTGCATTGATGGCTAGCATTACTCTCACAGTCAAAGTAAAACTACGTGGCTGTTCTAAAAACCATCTCAGGGTGAAAATCCTCACTCTGAGTTACCTTGATGGTTAAAATCCTCCATTTGTATGAAATGATGGTTTACAAAAAAAGCAAAAGCCAGATCATACATTCCAAGGCACTATAGGCCTTGTTGTGAAAAGCACATTCAATCACTAAATTGGAACTACTGGACCATTTTGAATCATTAAATTTATTTAGAATGTTGAATACAATATTAAAGACAAGAGATTCATATATTGTTGCTGTTGTTGTTAGTTGCTATAGGTTGCAGATCTTTCAACCTGAAGACCTTTCAGAAGCAGTTTATCCAGGCCTGTTCTGAGGGGACTGGGTGGGTTTAAAACAGGAACCTTAAGGCTAGTTGTCAAACACATTAGCATTTACACTATTCAGGGCCTTCTAAGGAGCTCTGATCGCCTACTGTACTGCTAATCAAAAGGCTCTGAATCTCCTTGGATTCAAATCCACCAGTGACTCTGAGCAAAAAGACGGACAGTCTCCTCGGTTAAGACTTACAGCCTCGGAAATAACAGAGTCAGAATGGATTGAATGGCAATGAGTGAGTGAGGAACTGCTCATATATTATTACTGCCCCTAGAAGTATTTTATTAAGGGAACTCTCGTGGCCTAGTCATAAGGAGATGTGCTGCCAACCTGACGGCTTGCAGTTCAAATCCACCAGCTACTTCATGAGAGACATATAAGCAGTCTCCTCCCATGTGATTTACTGCTTCTGAAAACCCACTGGAGGGTCAATTATGGGTCGATTCTGACTCGAAGGTACATGCCAACCACAAAAGTATTTTAAAGCCTCACATCCATTCAATACCACTCCCCACCCCAATCTTTTTAATGGCCTAGTGGCAAGAAGCTGCAAATCCAAAGGCAGCAAATGGAGCCACCAGCTGCTCTGCGGGAGAAGGATGGGCAATCTCCTCCTGTGATTAACTGTTTCTGAAAGGTCAGCTATGGGTCGGTTCCAACTCTATGGTACTCAACAGTTGTTCAATTATAAGAATGGTATAAGAATGGTATAAACATAAACTTTATATGCACTGGAAAATTTTAAAGAATTTGTGACTAACTTTATTGTTATTTTTTATTAAAATGTTCTTGAAATGAACCCAAATGAGAAAACATGCTTGTTTCTTTTGAGCATGTACCTTCCCATAAGAAGGGTGGGCCAGTATCGACTTGTATATTGAAGCTGCTGGCTTTTAATCCAAAAACTCATACGGTTATTCTTTCCGGCATCTAGGACTAAGTGAGGAGACTTGTTCTCTGGAAGCAACCTCTATCTCCACCCTCATAAATATTAGAAACAAGAAATTTAGTTTAATACAGGCAGAGAAGAGGAAGAACAAAGAAATTAGAGACAATAAGGAAAATGGTCTCATTTCTCTTAATATTTCCATGGAATTGGACAACGTTCAAAGAGGAGACAGATGTGATGAATATAAATAAATCATCCAGAATATACAGTCAGTAATGTAATCCAGCCTCCCTCCTCAAGAAGTAAAATACTGCAATAAATTAATCACTTTGCGAAATCATCAGTGATTCAGATATGACCAGGAGTTCTTACAGCCTAGTGGTAAGATGCTGGCTGTGCTGCCAACTCAAAACATGGTTCAAATCCAACACTAGCTATTCTGTGGGAGATATATGCTCCGTCTTCTACTATGCAATTTACAGCCTCTTAAAACCCGCTGGAGGGTCAGGGTTGGTTCAAATTTGGCAACACACAATACACACACACAACTATGATACCTGCAAACAAGAAACACTGGTCAAATTCCTATAAAAATAGTTCTTTCACATGAAGAAATGCTCAAAATCACTGGCAATAAGAGAGATGCCAATCAAAATTACCATGAGATACTCTCTCTCACCCCACTAATAGTAACAAAGTTTAATAAGACAGCAAGCAATAAATGTTGGCAAGGATGTGGAGAGACTGGAACTCTCACACACTGTTGGTGGGATTGTAAAATAGTACAGCCACTCTGGAAGGCAGTTTGGTGTTTCCTCAAAAAAGCTAAACATAGATATTCCATATGACCCAGCTATACTACTACTAAGAATATACCCCAAGGAACACCAATGTTCACAGAAGCATTATTCACAATAGCAAAAACATGGCAATGGCCCAAATGTCCATCACCAAATGAATGGATTGAAAAATGGAATACTATTCAGCACTTGGATATAATGATTTTGAAAAACACTATATAATATTGGAGAAGCTAGAGGGATTTAGGCTGAGTAAATTAACTCAGGCACATAAGAACAAATATTGTATATGACCATTATTGTGAAAACAGAAGGATAACCAGTAAGATGTATATGGCTATACAAAGAGGGGAGAGGAGGGAGCAGAAGGACTGAGGGTGGGGAGGGGGATAATTATGAAGTCACAAAGTTTGGTAGGTGGAGGGAGGGAACAGGGGGAAAAAAATAAACCCCAAAACATCAATGTACATGAATTAAACACAATAAAAAAATAGTTCTTTCATTTGTAATATCAGTGTCAATAAGGCATAACAACAGATAAAATAGTGAAAGAATGAATGCTGCCTTTTGTTTTTAAATGTTAGCCAGATAGGACATCTGTTTTAGTTTGGGTTGAGTTTGTTGCTGCTGCTGTTATTAACAATAGAACTTAAATAAGATAAAAAGGGCAAGCAACGCCTCATAGTGGCTCACACATATTTCAAGAACAAAGTAGGATACAAATACCCGTTGGCCATTAAAACTCAAGGGGATTTCCCCGGTTAGGGAGAAAACCAGCTAGGTCCCAGCAACATCAAGTCTGGGGCTTTGAAGTGAGTTTAATAGACTTTCAGTGACAGCAAAGGTGGGAGGGGACACTAGTGAAGTAAACAGTTCATGGAAACTAAATTTTGATGTGCAAAAATTACACTGATATGTAATCTAAGCAAGAACCATTCAAAAATATGTAAAGATTTCTCACCACTGGGCCAATTGGCAGCACCATATTACA